GTAGAAATCGCTGGCAAAAGAAAAAGTAATAAAAATATTCATTAACAGTGAAAACAAATGACTGTTTTCTTTTATCTAAGTAGGTACTTCAATTAGCCAGAATTAATTTCTCAACCATACTAGAACTGAAATATTTATGTAGTACATAATTCTGCTCTTAAAGTAGGTAACTGTACTGACTTGACCTTGGAAATAAAATTAATAAATATTATGTTACCTTAACTTGTGCAAATACCAGGAGATGCTTCTCTTTAGTTTGTGAAATAAATACTATTTACCATGAACTGAGACAGACAAGTTACCTCCAATACCACCATATTGTTTTCGTTTATTTGAAAACATTAATAATAAGAACAAAAACAAATTAAAGTGCATTTTAAAATATGGCAATAAATATTAACATCTGTATTTTGGCTTACACAAACAAAATAAAATGTTACAGTTTTAGGGAGCTATAACAAAGTGATAAATAACAACTATGTGTGTGTACATAAGAGTATGTGTAATAATGAACTTATCTGTGGACTTTCAAGAGTTATCAAGCTAATAATATGACTAATTTACAACTCTCCTTGCTTAGATCCCAGCTAAAACTTTATTCTGATGACTTATTAATGGTGTATATAACATACATTAATAATGGTGCAATATGTAATTGATAGAGAATAACAATTTTTCTTATTACTGCAAGAAAAAGTTTGGAGAGTCAGACCAGTAGATTTGATCTAACGATTTTCTCTGCTATCTGAAGTAATGATGGGACACTGAGCATTCTGGACAAGAGTCATTTTTACTATTATACAAATGTATCACTGGCCCCTTTCAGCAACCAGCCAAGTAAATTTGTCACTGCTATAAGGTGTTCGGGGCCATGAGTGATTCCTTGCAGGCGAATTATAGTAGGAGTTACAGCAGACTTCCTTTGAAGCATAAGATAGAAACAGGATAGTTTACCTTGGTGTCGTAGGGAAGCCCAATGGTAATAAGTGTTCTGTGGCTAAGAGTTTTAGTCAAGAAGAGAATTTTATTCCGGCTCTACTGACATGAAACAGTGGCTAGAACAATCATCAACTTATGCCAGACAAGCTAAGGATAGATCCTAATTCCTCAGTTTTGGCAACACTGATATTTTTGGCCACTTTATTTTTGCTATGGAGGATTGTCCTTGCATTATTGGATCATTGGCAGTACCTCTGGTCTCCAGCCACTGTATAAGCCAGTAACATTTTCCCCCATCCCCCACCTCCATTGTGACAAGCAAAACAATGTCTTCAGATATTGCTAAGTGTTCCCTGGGGGCATTTAATTGCCCTATTGAAAACCACCTACTTACCTTATGATCAAAGTCACCGAATTTTCAGAAAAGGGACTGATTGAGTCTAGGACAACATGTAATGAGGTGGATATAATCCATGAAACAATAAAATATATAAACTAATTAATTCTTTTCAAATACCTAGCAAGATATTTTAATTGTAAACTCATTAGGAGAGATTTCATCTTGTATACATTTTCAATAATTAAAAACATAGTAGAATGTTATATCTACTACCTAGCATCAAAGATTATTAAAATTATATCCTTGTTAAGGAAGTAAATTAACTATATTTTTATTATGCATAAGTAGTAAAATGTTAGGGAGTGTTGTTAGAATAGACAGTAGTGATATTAGACCGAAGGTTACTATCATTGTTAAGATACCTATGTTTTGCTTTATGATGTCAAATTTGGAGGAAATGTTAACAGGTCAAGCGAAGACTAATTTATAAGGACCTTCTTAAAGAAGAGAACTGAAACATGGGAGCTGTGTTTCATTCCTGCTTGTATCTATTTTGTCAGCAAATTCTTAAGGATATAAGCATCCTCATGACAGGAACCTTGTCTCATTAATCTTAAAATAACTAGCATTTTGTCTGGCTCAGAATATGTGGTTATTAAATATTTGCCAAATTAACGAAGGCTGATACTAAATCTATAATTTATTCTGAATTAATCTCTCCCTATTTATTTCTACTGTTTTTAATTAAGTTTGCAAATATATCTTGCTTGGATTATTGCTATCTTTCTAAATGATTTTTCCTTTTGGAATTTCACTCTTCACCATATTGCAGTCAAGGCTTTTTCAAAAATCAAATTTTGGAACATGTTCTTCCCTTGATTGAAACTCATTATTGACTCCCTATCACCAAGGGGAAATCCTAACCTATGGCAGTGAGCATGTCCCTGTCTACCATTGGGATCTCATTGCCCACTACTCAACCACCTGCTGCTCAGATAACCCACTAACCTGGCTTCCTGGAAGCTCTGAGTGAGTCAGGCTTTCTTGTATCTCTAACTATGTGCCATGGAGCCTGTCAGCCTAGATTATCCTCTACCTCTTGCCTAATGTGACCTGGTTTTAAAATACTTATCACTTAGTACTTAGCCAAGAGGCCATTTTCTCTGCCTGGAGTGTTCTATGAGGGCCACATCTTTTTCTTGTCTATCATATCACTTTGATTTAACATATGCTTTCTTTATAGTACTTGCTCTCTGCAGTTTTCCTAACTTTTATCATGTACATTAGAGCTTTTATTATGGTATATCACAACTGTCAGTATATCTTTGTGAGTCTGATATTTTCCTTTGAGAGCATGTAGATGGTTGGGACATTCTTTTTTGGGGGGTCTTCCCAGTTCACTTCTCAGTCCTAGATACCTAGCAACTCCCATAATCAATGAAAGATTACCTCTATTAGATACTATAAGATCCTCAAACTATATTACCTTTTCAGGCCTCAAGAACCTTAATTAGTTTCCTCAGACTCATATACTAGATTCTTGACAACAGAAACATAATAACAGATGCTATGGCCACACAGGATTCAAATCCTGGTTCTGTTTGATGTTGTTTACATGTTGTGTGATGTTGAAAAGTAACAATCTATAAAGTGTGAGTATTAATTAATATAGCTCACAAGGTTATGAAGATGAAATAAATAAAATATGTAAAGCAGAATCATGTATACATTGAATACACTGTAATTAACTTGTTCTTATAAGGTATATACACAATAGATATTACTTTGCAATCCAAAAAGATGTACTCATTCCACTTGTGGCATCATGGTAGAGCAGGAAGAACTAATGCTCAGTGAAAGGAGTCAGAAGGAGAAAGGTAAATACCATATGGTGTTATAATATGTGCAATATAAAGTAACTAAATTTAGAGTCAGATAAAGAGTAGTTTAAAAACTAGCTCTTAAGATCAGACCACAGAACTGAAGCACCAAGGGATTAGAGCAGTGAGGAAGGGGTAAGAACAAAGACAGAAGGAGCATAGTGAACTATGATGGTGGACTATGGGTGAGTTGGTGGCAGATGAATTAGGGTAGGAGTAACTGGTGAGGGTAACAAGTACTACCTCAGTTAAAACTACAAAAAAGTTAAAGACAATACTTTAATAGAAAATACAGAATAATGATTTACAAAGTCTTAGAACTGAACTATTTGACTCTGTGCCTATGTGACTTCAACTCCCTGTGCCTCTGTTTCTCATTACATTAAATGGGAATAGACACTCCTACTTGATTGGATTCTTAAATGATTAAATGATTTAATCCTGGTAAAATACTTAAAACTTAATAGAGTTAGCTAAATTAATATTAATTTTCATGGGGCTACATTTCTTCAAACTCTATTATTCATTCCCCCTAGTTGATGTTTTCCTTTATATCCTCTAATGGCTAGCTTGAGTAGCATCTCTAGATTCAGCCAGATGAGTTCCAAAGAATGACCTTCTTCCATGAACAATGGAGATTTGGTTCCTTAGTATTATATAAATGGCAAGTTTTAATAATTGTATTTTTAAATTTGATTTATAGCTTGTCACAAGGTAAGTTATTTTTAGAATCTCTCTTCCAATAACATGACTGAGCAATTTATCCCATTTTTAAAGTGATAGCATCATGAAATTGACAATTATCACTATATAGCAATTGATTACTTTAAGTACATAAATGTATAATTCATGCATTGTGGTTCACTGATTAAAGGAATAAATGACCATCTAGATAATACTTAGATGCACACACATTTCAAATATTGGTCAGAATATTTTGATCACACTGTCTTACTTCAGGCAGAGAGATCAAATTACATTTATCTGAGTTGGTTCACCTACCTCCTCTTCCTCCAGGGGCACAGTTATGTGCATGGATGTTAATTATAACTGCACCTTGTGATCTGAAATGTTTTAATAAATATAATTACAAAAACTGAGAGACTTGGGGCACTTTTTGTATTTCCATGGTGATAAACACAAACAAATAAGAAATGTGCTTCCCAGAATGTGGGATTTGCACAGCTTGATAGCGTCTGTGTTGGTAATAATTCCAAAAGTTTGCACCCATCATTCATGGCAGGTTCATTCGGGTGACACAGGAATGCTCAGAATAAACTGAGAGAACTGCGACTGTTGAGAACTTGCCTGCCAGTTTCACTGCTAGGGATAAAAATCATACAGTTTTGGAGTAAATATTTCAGACCTTTCTCTGAATAATTAGTGCATATGCAACCCTATTTTAATGTCACAAGGTGAAAGAACAGAAAAATCAAATAGATTTTAAGTTCTGAGCCTCTCCTTCCTACATTGCTGGAAGCCTCATCTATCCACACAATAGATTAACTACCCTCTGTGCATACTATATTTTGCTCAGCCCTTAAAATTCTGAAGCTGGACTGAAGCAGTCGTTATCTGTGGCGGTTCCTGGGTGATTTTCAAGCCCAGCACTACCCACCCAAGTGGCAGGGATACCGGCTTTCACTGAAGCCTTATTACTCTTAAAAGAGCAATTTGGTTGGCTGCACGGCTATTAGGATCACACAGCAGCCTGAAAGCTGTCAGTACAACTGCTTCTCATCTTTTCCACACAATTCTGACATCTTTTCTCTCTTCTGCTGGACACAGACATTACTGTTTTTATCATTTTCAATCAAGCTCACCCAGCCCGCTGAGGAATATATTCCCACGGAAAGCAAAGTGGAGATCAGAAATAATTTTGCAGCTCCTGGAGCAGGAGCTGTGCTGACTGCGTGCTGAGAAGAGCCGGATCCGTGAGAAATGTAGCTTGGCTCAGGGCTACACCAGGGAGCTGCTACTTCAGCTGCTAAAGATGGCAAAACAACACCTACCTCAGGGTTTTCCAGGATTCATGCTATCTTAATAACCGGGAGGGAAAAGGATGTGAGATTTTTGTGTGTGTGAAATTAACTTGTGGAAATGTTATCATCAGAGAAAGTGGGGAAAATTACTAGATTTGAACTTCTCTTCGTTTTGATGATCTTCTTCTCTGGACCAACTCTGAGCAAGCTGACTCGGACCCCCTGGAAAGGGAAACCTTGGAAAGGGGGTAAGTGATGAAAGTTTTGTGTTAAAGAGTTAAACCCAGTGAGCCTTGCTAATCATTGGTAGCTGAGGACAGTTAAAGGTAGAGAAACTGCCTCTGTTTGAATCAGGTTTTTATTTCAGGAAAGAGGATTTGGGTTGTAGGTGGCTCAGAAGAAGAGTTTTTCTCCTGTTGATATATTTGCAATTTTTGTTTTATGAGCATTTTTTTTTCCAGCAGGGAGAATATAGGGCCAGATACATGCTGCTCCACTGTAAGAATATGTGTGTTATCCTTAGGAAGCTAAGTTATTTTAAAAGATGTTAGATCTCTGAATATATTAGATCCCCAAATTGTTAGCAGATTTTTTGAAGTGATCAGAGAGAGAGATGTCTCAGAAGAGGCATGTTATGAAATGCAATGCCATGAACACTTATTTTCTGGCTGACTCTATCAGTAGTGATGTGTTAATAAAGATAAATTGCATTAACTTTATTTGGGAGAGAAATCTGAATAGAAACAAGGCTTTAAGTACTTTGGAGTGTAATGTATTTTCTACTGCTGTCGAAAAAAAAATTGTATGAGATGAGACAGAATTTTTGAGACTTTGCGCCTGCCTGTTTATACAAGTCAGTTGATTCTGCTTTTCCTGAATGTCATTTGTTTATACTAAACACAAGTTATCAGGGTACCTATTCTGTGAAAGCTGTACATCAGGTGAGGCTGCAGAGATATCCCAAGAGAGACTTTCTGGACAGTATATGTATGTTTTGGGAAAAATCTTGATGGGAGGTGTCTGAGGATTTTGCTTTGCAGAAGCATGCTTGTCACCTGATATTTTTATCTCAGCTCTGAAAATATTTTCTGAGTTTTCCCATCTTTGACTTACTGCCAGTGCTATGATATGAGGTTAAAGAGAAGCTTAAACCTTAACAAGAAGTTTTAATAATTTATCACAGTGTCTCAGCAGGATTTTCTAAATACAGGCGCCCCATTCTCTGTGATCTTTCTCGTTTTCCTTTTGTTACATTAAAGACATTACCAGTCTTCATCTACTGTACATGGGAGGGAAAAGTACCAACAGGCACTTATCTTACATAGTCGGTGCAGATGCATCCCCAGAAGTGGAGTTGCAAATTGTCTCCAGGCCTTGTAAATTATATCACCACTTTACTGTATTTTCTAGTGTTATCAATGGATTTTTTTTTTCTTGCAAACTACAAGCTGTTATTTATGTTAGTCTGCATGGCAGCTTTTTGGTGGCTTGGGATCTAGAGATGTATGTTGTTATCGACTCTAGGGGATGTCAGGAGTGTTAACTCGTGCTTCTTATATAAATTTTTCAAAGACAGTCAGCCCTTCTAGCATGTGAAAGTATATCATTTCCAGTGATAAACTTTGGGGCACTTGCTTCTCACTGAGAAAGTTAGATAGCAGCAAGATTTTTCGAAAAACCGTTCATCTAGTCAGAAAGATTTATTTCAAATTGCTTGCATGTGTTCCTAGGCATTTATTCATTCACTCAGCTTTAAATACAGATGCATTGGGTTTCATTTGTAAATCAGGTCTGAAATGTTTCGTCTTTGAACATATGACTACTCTTTCCAATGTACTTTAACTAGCTCAGCTAGACATTTGCCAGCTCTGCTGTACAATGATGATATGACTCAGTCAAGTTCAGGAATAGGCAATCACAGCAACCTATTTCTTTTATTGTTAAAAGAGTCTTGTGTATTTTAGGAAGGTCAGGCAAGTTACTGGAAAACTTTTCACATGTTGACTGTTTAAAATTACTTCCTTTTTTGGTTTCTCTTTTTGTCACTGTACATGAATTGCAGAAATATTTCCCACAGATTCTGAATTCCTGCAAAGCAGTCTTACCTTGATATGCATATGTGTGTGTTGTAAATATTTATTTATTCATGAGCTCAGCTATTGATGGCAGCGTGTTATCTTTCGGTGAACTGTAAAATCCTGTTTTTCTTTTCACTTGGCATGCTAGGCAGTCTTTTAAAGCATAGTTTTACAGTTTCTCGACATCATTTTTCAAGGAATAGGATCTTCATTTTTAAGTTTATAAAATGCCTAGCAGAACTCTAGGTGTACATGGAGTAAAGATGCTGAAGTGGGAGCTGGGGAGAATGAGCCTTCTCCCACACCATGGCCACAGGCATGAGGAACATGGTTCAAAACATGGCATTTGAATGAAGGTGATTGTATCTATATTTTTTAAAAAGATCCTCTTTAAAAAAAATACTGATTCAAGCTTATCTGTTCTACTCAATGATCATTAAAATTGACACTGTTTCTACAAATCCTGAGAAAGTTAATAATAACAAAGCAGTTTCCTTCTGAAATGATTTTATTTTATTTTGCTCTCCCATTGCTAATGTGCATTTGTCTTAATCTGATTGAGCAGCTGTCAACCTCCATATGGCAACCTGCCCACGCTGACAATTTCCATTTTTGTTATATTAACAGGAACCTCCTTTCTGAGAAAAGGGGTTATTGGGGCAGGGAGTGCCAGCATCATAGATCAGTGGGTAGCTCTGCATGTGAAGAGTAGCACAAGCAACCCAGGGCCAGGAAGCCAACACAGGTATCTGTAAAATGACTTGTTAGAACAGATGGAAAAAAGTGCTGATTACTGTAGAGTACCAAGGGATTTTCAAGCTCATCAATGAACATGAATCTCAAATATAGGTTAGTAGGCTACCAAGTTTTCCTCAGGCACAAAGTTTTCTATTTGATCACAATATGTGAAGTCCTGGAGGGTAGGTGGGTGTCTCTTCTCATTAGTTGAGATCATAGCATAAGATCTTAAGAGTTTGCACTCCTGATAAACTAGCCAGAAACCCCAATCACCCTGCTGAAATAATCTTCATTAGGATTAAACAACCTAATTATTTTTCATTCAGTTACTCTCATGGGGAAAAACAGTCTGAAAGATGTAAACAGCTCCATTTCAATGAACATAACTTTTGAGAAAAGTTTTATTATATGTAGATGGTCAATATAGGTAACATAAGGGGATTTAAAAATTACTTATATTTTGTTTTGTTTTGCTGTGTCTTATATTGTTATTATTTTCCCCCTGATGTCTTACATGGTTCTAATAATAACTCTGAAAAAATATTAATTTTTTTCTGCTAATGAGAATTAGGAAAATTTGATAATTTTAGCTACTATTTAATGTAAAAACAGAAGGTAAATATGTGTAAATAGGAAAATAGTTTTAAAGGGTATACATGGGTTAGGCTTGCACCAAGGTGAAAATGTCTTAAATGCCTGGTCCAACCGACCAATCAGAGCATGTGCTGATCGAGCTAAGGGCCCAGGCTAGCTCTGACTATCAGTGCCATCCCATTCTTCTCTTTGACACTGGTTCCATTTAGACCATCTAAAGAATCTTTTGAGTTCATTCAAATCTCTTAATTAGGAATTAATTGTCAAAATATGGCAACAGAGTATGACATTATCAAAACTTTTAGTGATTTAGAAGACTCAACAGTCATTGATACTTGTTTCCTTTTATAAATTAAGCAGGCAGTTGGCTCTGCCTATCTTTGCTAATCAAGGAGAATCACTTTGGCAGTTATCTCCCCTCTTTCTATAAAGAGATAGAATATATTATAATCACAGTATTATTTCAACTTTTAGTGCATGGAAGCACTGACCTGGGAATATTGAGTGCCATTTTATGCTTTATTTAGTTATTTGCATGGTCCCATCTAAAATATTGACAGTACCTATACCTAACATATGCTCCATAAATGTAAATTGATTGGGAGTTAGCTAGAATTTGCTGAAGTTTTGTGTTTATATTAAAAGTTTAACTATGCGCTGCTGTATAAGCAAACACATGTTTATGATAATTGCTTCTAAAGCCTTTCCCAGTCATGTGGTTTAGTTGAACACTACTTTATTTTCCACCCTAAATTTTATATTTCTTATTTTTTAAGGAGGAAAATAAAGGTTTTCATTAATAAAATTTGAGTATGTTTTATGTAGTCTTTTGCATATGCCAAAATCTTTTCAAACTTCCTGATTTGAAGAAAGATGAGTTGATCATTTTGACATTGACTTTTTTTCTAGAATGTCCTTTACCATTGTACTTGTTCTAAACCTCAGATCAAATTCTTTTCCACCACATGCTGAAAATAATATTCCATCTCCCAATTGACTTGGACATTTTATTTAGGTCAGAAGGCATTTGTCAGTTTTGCAGTGGTTTATTGTTTTATACACACAAACACACACACAAACACAATGAGATAGATATATTTACCACCTATTTACTACCATGTACATTATTTGAAGAGAAATTTTATCTTTGATTTTTATTTTTATTTGTTAACATGCAGTCCTGTACCTAATATATGCTCCATAAATGTAAATTGATGCATAAATCAAGTTTATGAAAAAACTGGTTAAAAAATTCCTAAAACTTTAAGTATTAATTTTACATTTTTTACTTTTAACTATGTTCTGTATCTTGCCTTTCTAGTGTTGGGAAATCATTTATCATCCTTCTAGTACTACATTTAAACTTAAGTTTTGGTTGTAGAAAAATATGGATGTATTTATAGCATTATAAAATTTGGAAAATTCTGGCAGTTTCATGTAGGAAGTAGTACAGAAAGAAAAAAGAAAGCAATGTTGTTCGAAAGTAATTTATAACGTGAGATTGTGAATCTGGAAACTGAACTCTATGAATATTCATGTAAAATGTAGGGAGTTCTTTATACTGTGTATAATCATTACTTGTTTTTCAGTTGTTTAAATTATTTAATCTACATCTGTATGCAATAAATAGATTTAGTACCTTTTTTTTTTCCTATAGATGAAGAGGATAATCTACAGTCACATCTGAAATGAGTATTTTTCTAAATGTTCAAAAGATTATTAGAGTGATTTTTAGATATAGAAATCAAAAATATGCTAACAGATATACTAAGAGCAGTTGCAAAATTTCCTCATGTTCTCTAGTCATTTGAAAAAATTATGGATTTATAAAATGAATG